ACGGAAGGGAAAATCCGTAACGAAACTTCCAGATGGTTCGCAGCTAGTGTTGCTTCAGTTGTTAATAGCTTTTCTGCAGAAAACGGGACTGGGGGCGATGCCGAAGGTGGACGTCAACATCAACCCTTCTGTTAGGAGTCATCGCCATTCTCCCAACCGTGGCATAGGTCCTTCTTCCGCCCCACTAAATCTTATCACGCAGAAGTGGAAAATCAGGATACATGTCCTTTAAGATGGGGTTCGCTTTCCGCTGCCACCAATTTAGCGTCTTTAGCCTCCCTGAAGACGAAAGAAGACACAATACTCGGGCAGAATATATGTATTTAGCATAGAAAAGGTATCTGGGCTGTTGGCTTGGCCCGAAGGCCAGCCTACCCAATGCGGTACAAGAAGGCTAATTCAAAGTCCCAAAAGTGGCGCCTCACCAATACAGAGGGATAAGTCACCATTGTATTACAATATGCCTAATCCGTTTAATGGTACCACGTTCATAGAGCTATCTAAATACAGGCAAAGCAAATGTAATCAGACACAGAAAGATTAAAGCTTCATTAAAATATATTTTGGTACTAATAATTACATCAAATTTTGCTGCTCTAAGAGCAGAGTTTGATATTTCCTACATTTGAGGGCAAAAATCCTCGGATGTGTACTTCAAAAGTGGTTGTTTCTACCTGGTTTATTTAAATCTAAATAATATCCCATAATGAAAAAAGATTTGGTTTTTATTTCTTTAACGTTGTTGAAATTTATTTCCGGAATTTTTATATTCGTGAAAATATTGTTTATATGGTCCACTTTTACCTATAACTTAGCGCCTAGCATTGCAGTTATATCAACAATCTTGTGTATCTCAGTCGCTCCAGGGGTTGTATATATGCTAATTCCATTCTTATGCGATACGGTTGAAGGGTGTAAAGTAGTGCATTATGATTAAAAATAAATGTCCTTTACTTACTTCTCTCTCACAAGAAATACTGGAAAAGACTCGTCTAAACGGTGTACGAAAGACCGTTTATTCCGTCAATGGTGACAGCTACACTGGAGAGTGGAAAGACAACAAGAAACATGGTAGTCTTCTATCTTTTTTAACACTTCAGGTCGCGGCATTCAAAAATGGAAGTCTACACAGCTCATCTATGAGGGTAATTGGGAAGCTGGAAAGCGATGCGGACCAGGGGTTTTAGCCGTAGTGGGAAAAAATGGTCGTCACACAAAAATATACTCTGGAATGTGGAAAAATAACAAGCGCCATGTAATTCGCCCTACTTTAATACAGTACAATACAGGGCTATGGTGAAAACTGGTACAGCTGTAATGAGTTCTACGAGGGAGAGTGGTGCAAAAATAAGAGGAGTGGGTGGGGACGCTACTACTACAAAGACGGCTCCATGTACGAGGGCGAATGGTTGCACGATAAACGTTGGGGTAGTGGGATGTTACGACTGCGTAATCATATCACCTAAGTGTTATTTCTGCCTTAGCAAATGAAAACAGGTATGAAGGCGGTTGGATTAATGACATGAAAAATGGCAAAGGAAAGTACATATTCCACCGGACCAATCAGGTTATGGAGGGAATATGGATTGACGACGTTGCAAAGCAAACCATCTTTACCGATCTGGGACCCAGGATGGAGGTAACAGAAACGACGTACCCCATTCCTAATGTGAGCTTCTACTTTCTATGCTTCCAACACAACCGACTAAAAGCATCGCACTCGAGTCTTCGTGCTTTAATACTCTATTTTGCAGATCGAATTACGAGCATTGGATGCAGTTTGGCGCGACACGGCTGAAGAAAACATGAGAATATTGCGAGAGAAGTATCCACAAGACTTTAAGTAACACAACCAAGAGGTACCAAAAACAGTCGGTAATAATAAAGCATGTGTCAATAACAGTTGTGAATTACTGATAAAATATACAAAAGAGGCGTAGTGTTCCAGTTTCAGTAATTGCGAACACCAAAGTACAGAAACCACGTATTTTTATACATGTAGAATACATAAGCAACTTCGAAAGTTGTAACAGTTATAATGAGTAATGAAAAACGGTGGAGAGTGGAAGTGTTTTGAAAAAGTGACATCAATCGAGAGGGAACAAATAACAATGTCCACATATCCAAAAATTTTGTAAAACAGTGTAGGTATAAATGCAACTCATTGCTCGTCAATCTCGTCTTTTCTCTCCTTCAGTTTACTCGAAATCTGCAACATTGAGCGGAGTAACAGCGTTGTGTGCATCGGGGAAACGCAAGTGATATTTTGATGCACGTAAAAACTTGACCGTTAAAAGGTGACCTGCAAAAATGAAGCAGGCGTAATAGCTCATCCGCAAAAGTGAATGCACTGCACCAAACAACAGTGGTTATGTAACACCACGTTAGTCAGTTATTGACATCAATTGGCAGTGAACAGATGAACTTACTGTCAAAGTAGTTGGCGTTTATGGCTTCAAAAACCCTACCCGCAACGACCGGAGAAGCACACTTTATATAAACTAAGCCCTAAAACAAAAAGCAAATTTTGATTTCTAGGGTCTCCATTTACTCTGGATTCCATATTATATACAAAGTGAAATGAAAATAAGTTTGTCACGCAAGTAAGCGACATTCTGCTATCACCACGCACAAGCACCTGATAGACGACAAGGCTAACGCAAGTGGGACCAAAGTCACCTGGTTATTTTGACTATCCAGTCCTATGTGCAAGATAGGTCCACACATCGCGACACGATTGAGCAGCTCACGTATCAAACGCCGTTTTGCAGAGACGTCCATTAAACTGTAAGAAAGATAGGTGAGGATAAATTTCGGTGCCTAGTTAATATCATTACCAAAACAACCAGCAGTAGACTATTTAAGGGATTCTAAGTGGCAATAAGTTGCATGAAGGAGGGGGAGGAAACTTACTCCGTTGTGAACATGTTTCGAACCTTCAAGCATTCTGTCGGAGGCGTGGTGAAGGGTAGGTTTTGCGATTTACCCAGGAGAGCTAGATCAGCCACAAGGGAGATAAGTGAATAAAGAAAGAACGCACTTCACCATTACTTAAAAGCAATAGCATTAGGATGCAATGTGGGGAGCCATTTTTTCTTACCAAAGGGGACAACAGTTTAGTTAATATTAAGCCTAAGCGAATGAGAAAAGGAATAACATCCACGGTTAGCCCAGAGTGAAAGCCTAGGAACACTGTGGGGCCTGGATAAGTACTAGATGATCCACGAGAATAGGCTATGAGCTCGCATCTTTTTTATGTCGAAACAAAAGTGAGCTCGGCTTCAAATACCGGTCTGCCGAATCCATACTTTTTGGTGCCAAAAAACCAAGGAAATCTCGTTGCCTAATTTAAGTTTTGCGGGTCGAAGTGTAAAAGACTGGCGACTCAGTCCTAAGCGAACACCGTACAGACGAAGTACTTCTATGAACACCTATTAGTAACCATGATATCATTAATGGTAGCAGCAAAACACACCCAAAGTGGGTTCGGTAGATTTCCGGTTAAAAAAATAGACACAACTCATAAAAACAAAAAAACCGCATGCACACCGCTAGCATATGCTTTATTGAATGCAGCAAAACAAATATTACTTTGAATAAGAGATCGCAATTCTGTTCAAATTAAAGTTACTTTGAGGAGTTCTGGCTGACAAGCACTACTTTGTCCTTGGGGAGAGGGCAGAATGAAAGTGATGAGAGAGGGAAAGCGGAGCAAAGCATTAGGGGGGAGGAGGAGGAGGAGGAGGAGGAGGATAGTTGAGACTCTGGCCCCATCGCCAGTACCAACTCTCAACAGCACAGCTGGAGTTAGCAGTGTAGCCGCGGGGCTGACCCCCCAAGCTGTTGGCCGTATTGGTGATGGTGGAAGAGCGTGGAGAAGACACAGAGAGATGCTTACCCGAGCCTTGCCAGCCCGACCCCGCTTGCCATTGCCAGGTTTCGCCTACGCCGCGCCACTCTTGTACCAAAATACTCCCCTCCACCAAGTGCACGTAGTGCTCCACCTCCGTCCACAACTCTGCCAGACTATAACAGGCGAAAATGAAATACAGAGCTCTCAAGGACACCAATTCACAATTAATTCAAATGAAAAGGTTGACTACATAAGAAGTAGCCATAGAAATAGTAAATGAAAGCATAACGCCTATAAATTTAGATTTCAGGGGTAACAAGGTTACTCACTCTGGATTGGTGTGACTGAGCCTTTCCTTGATCATTGAGACGGGTACATACGGCGGTTCCGTAGGATTTGATTTTCTATGCTGCAGCTGCTGTTGCAAGATGCCTAAATAAAAAGTGGATACATTGATACAGTAAAGAAATATTACATATTGTGGTATGCACCCAAGTTATTGGTGCAGGGCTTAATGTTAGGGAAAAGGTGATATAACTGTCATTAAAATTGGGGTCACGCATGCTCCATCGTTACGGCTTGCACATCATCCAAATGGGGGAATGAAAACAGTTTCACACTCACAGGACACCTCACGAACGATCTCTCGAATACGCATTGTACGTTTCTTCGTGCGGTTCTGCTGGGACTGCTTAATACGGTATATCACATAGCAGAAGCCGCCCACAGCAGAGAGAATAAAGAGTAGCCAAAGAAGATTGCTCAAGAAATGCAATACTGAGTTGGTGAGCAGACGAAGACGACAACCGCCGGGAATGTAGGGGCGTAGACTCTCCAGCTCCACCACATCGCGCCAGTCCCTATGATAAAAAAAAGGAAGTGGACCTGTCTACAGCGGTTAGGAAACAAGCGGTCAGTTCGAATGTAGGAGCCAAGCTTACGGAGGCGGTTGGCCATTCGCGTCATAGGCGGCGATTTGTAGGTGTTTTTGTCCAACTTCAATAATTATGATCAAAACACTGCTCCATAAGGCGTCTACCTGATCCACAGTCACAGAGGCGGCGGGGTGATTTGCGAAGTAACTTTCAACAAGACGCTTTGCTGTTTCCACCTCAATCCTTGAACTTTCAACAGATTCTCCGCAAAAGTGTTCACCTAGAAAAAGCTGAGATTTTAGAATCACTGTAGCCCCAAAGTGACCAGCGAGTGTGTGGATTTAAAATCTCATGAATAAAATAGACTTATCAGACCTTGAAACACAAACACTGCAAAGAGGGCCAAAGTATAAAAAGCCATTTATCAGTTCATGTCAATAATCCAACCAATTACTCGAGAACGATAAAAACATTAGGGCGGAGAGTAACGCTTACCGGCGAATCGGCTAAGAATTTCAAAAAGACTATGTACTATCCTCAAAACCGGGGGTAGATCTTGACTATTAATACAGCTTGGTCGTGAAAGGACTGCGACCATTCTACGTTCAGAGTGCTCCTCAGGAAGACAAACCACCTTTTGAAGGTCTAAGGAGGAAAAAAACAATTCATACCATAAACGAATGCAGTAATAGAAGTAACACCCAGATGCGTCAGGTGTAACATACTTACCGGCGATCCTACCCACATTACTGTGCTTGTCTTTCAGCAGAAGGTAACTAGAAACAATTACTGCAAGCAGGACAATCCCACAAAACAAGATCAAATTTGGGACCTGATTTCCAAGCGAAAAATTAAAAATTTTGGAACAGAAGGATCTCTCAAAAGACTCTCCCGGCAATAGCTGGCGATAATTAGACATTTTGTCAGATTGATACGCCCTGTGAACAATACCATCGGGGGCTAGATTTGAGTCGTCCGATAGTATGGTAGATCCTAAATTAGAGGTTCTTGGAACCCAGCCAGACAAAGATGATCTTTCACGCGATGTTATCCTCGGATCATAACCGTGTCTGAAATGAAAAATACATCGTGTAAATAAAAATAGCAGAGTAAGTGGTCATTTAAATGAAAAACGTACGATGCACTTATTCCCCGAGCAGGCGAAAGCGAAGAACTGGAAGGGATCGACCCACCATCTTGATAGTTAAGTTGTGTGGTGGCGGGACTAGAAATCAAATTTCTGGGTCTCATTCCCAAACCGGTGTTTGTCAAATTTGAGGAATCACGGAGCACATCAGTGTTGGCTGTTCTCAAAGGTGATCGAACGCCAGCATTTGGTGTATGGCCGGGATTCTGCTGAGGAGTGAAAGCCGAACCCATAAAGGAATCCCGTAATGAGGTGTTAGAAAACTGACGTCGGGAATCTGATTTCAACGAGTTGTTAGGACCACCCACACGAGTTGCACTCAAGAATGCAGTTTGATTCACTGAACGAGAAGATGGACCGGGAGGAAGACCATCTAGGAGGACAAGAATAATGGATTTGGCAAAGCACCACAAGTCCTTGATAAGTAGTAAAGCAAGTGAAGTGAATGTACCCTCAGGCTTAATTGATTCACTCCGTTTGGCTTGTTCAGAACGAGGTATTTTTGAACCAGTCTTATTATCCTTAAGCAATCTCTCCAGTTTTCGCTCGTAAACCTGCCTAGTGGCAGGCGTTATTGGGCCAGGTTCATAACCGTTGGCCTTTAGTTTATCCCTTAATTCATCATCAGACAATGCCTGCATCCACGCACAGTACACCGCACAAGATGGGTGAAAATAAGCGGTTAACTATCTTCAACATATATCAACCAGTAAAATTCAAGCAAACTTTACTGCATCAGGTAGGGTAAATGCAGCATGAGAAATCGTAGAATTATCATTAATAACTAAGCAAAAAAGGCTAGAAATTTTATTGTGATAAGAGCTATTGTAATACAATGGTTGTTTAGCTCCCAGTATTGGCAAAAAGCCAATTCTAACTTGGCCTTGGTACCACGCCGCTTTGGCTAACTCTCGGGCCATACCAGTAGCTCAAATAACTTCTCTGTGCTAAATATATAGGTTCTACTCTGTTATTCTGTCTTCTTCTTTTATTTTAAGAGAAGTCTCGAAGCGCTATATTAACTATGTAGAATCCCAAGTAAAGAAGTTGGCAATTTTCATTGACTGCAGTGGCTTGTGGCCAAATCGATTTGTAAGACTCCCTCCGCGTTCATGTAGGTGATCGCGACTATAAGAGATATCTCTTCTTGAAATTTTAAAATTTATGATAAATTAAAGTCCTGTGTCTGGCGGTTACATAAATTCAGTTGGCAAAAATAAATTTGCTAAGCATTGACCGAGCTAATTTAGAAGCAAAGAATTAAGAGTAGCGAAACTACTCAGCCATATTTTGAACAAAACAGCACACTAGTACTTTGTGTTTTTAAAAAAAATACGATGGCAGTCGTAGCGTCCTTAACGTCACTGATCCCTCTTGGCAATTCAGCTAGGTCTGGAACTTCGTCCTCTTTCGGAAGTGGATTTCGAAACGAGGAATCGGTCAAAAACGCTCCTTATTTAGTGTACTTTTCCAACACCAAAAGGAAAGTTGGGTGACACATATGCTTTTTGCTTGTCGCATTAGTTTTTATAGAAAAATGAAGTACTTCCTAGTAATCGTGTTAGGATTTGTGCAAATGGTTTGTTTAAATAAATCAGTATTATTTTATTCTTAATCCTTGTTGGGGTTGATGTTTCACTTAATTGCACTAACGTCCTGTATGCAAAAATGACTGATTATACAAGTAAGTTTATTATTTTATTAATAATACAACCTTAGAGGTTTTCATTGATGCCGAAACACTTGACGTCAGCAAAACAGATAATTTATCTAGGCAAGCCACCCTAAACTTTCTTATCATTACATGTAGAGCTCTTTCTAGTGTGCAGATTTTTTGAATAAATGGAGCTTTTTAAAGCCTCAAATGTTATATTTTTTGAGGTTAAGTGTGGCTTGTATAGATCTGTGGCCTCCTCACTTCTTGGCAATATGTGCACGTTAAATAGTGCTGATTGAATACAAATTAATACAACAAGTTACAATTTTAGATTTTGTGCATTTAACGGTTTTATACTGTCATTTCTTCTTTATTATGTACTAGCGCTGAAAACCCATATGTTTCAATTCTTCAAATGAGGTTTTTTCTGACAATCATTAGTATGTCTTCCCTGTTTCCAAGATTTTGTGAGTGCACAAACCCTTTTATCTTTTCTCGGCAAATCATATGCATGGTCATGTGACACACTTTTTTCGTAATGAAAAACAAGACAATTGTCGAACAGTCGGTACTTATGTGGCTCGCATATTGGAAAAATACAACTTGGCAGCAAGTATGCAATATAGCATTTTATAACTTGTAGTCGTGTGATTATAGCATAAGTAGTTTACGGCCTAATTTAATGTCCTCTGCTGCCTGTCCATTTGTTAGGAATCCGGTCTACTTTGCCTGCTTTCATTACATCGAATTTTAACCTTCTTTCAAATTTTCTTTGAGGTTCATCCATTTACATTTCGCGAGGACGTATTAGGGTGTGTCACTGGAAAAATGTCATTGTGTGGGCTGTTAGCTAGTTTGAGGTGTAGTACTGGTGCAAGTAGGCCACCGAATGCACTTGCCAAGTGTAGAAAACATCGTCCTTTTGTCAAACACTGCAATGCATATCAAAGATGTAATTGACTATTGAACCCAAAGTTTTACACCTGTCATTTACTTACAACAGGATTGTACAATTTGAAGAAATCTATGGCAATACTTTCATTGGTGATGTGCTGACTGATAAATTCTGCCGCTTAAAATGTACTTCTGGAGCCAGGACTTGAAAGGCCATCTTGTATGACGACAATTTCACTGTCAAGCACGTAGAATCTGAGCATTCACAAAAGCTGGACTGGCATCGGGATTATGTAGACTTCTAAGGGATAGGCTTGTTGGCACACGGGTAGACAAACTCGTCATCACCACCAAGCATGGTGATCTGTTAGGCAAGTTACATTTCTATTAAGTGTGATACGTGTGCTGTTTGATGGGGGTCATTGGTAAAGCCTGCTGGTACACACCCACTTCTGACATTCTCGGAGAGTAAAAAAAAAATGCAACCTTTTTGAGTGCTTTGTACTCTCAACTTTAATTGCGGACCAAACTATAGCCTTGGTCCTATTTGTCCTACCCAAAAGTGTCAATCACGCATATCAGAAGACCTAGAAAAAGAAAAAAATGCGTCAAGTCAAGTCCATAATTTATTCATTATATCTTTTTCGCTTCCTTTAATCACAAGTGCTTATTCATGTGATTCATGGCCTGCTGCTTTCATGCTTTTCATTCTTAACTTCTTTCCAAAAAAAGAAAAAAAGTGCATGAAGAGCTCAAACAATCTGATTAAAGTGGTTTTGCATGGCATTTGTCTACAAGGTCCCATCTTTTTGAGTACTCCCGCTTTTTGCTTATTCAAAGTGTCTGTTGTCGGTTTTCTTCAAAAACCATCTCTCTCCTCTGTGCTTACAAATATGTAAAAAATCATATTTACGAGACAAACTCGTGCTAGTTGGTAAAAAACTTCTGTTCTTCATTTGAAGAATGTAGACTAATTACTCCCTTACTTGCTTTCAAGTAAGACTCCTCGGTGTTGTTTATAGAATTCCGCAGGTCCTCCTTGTGCTTCTTAACAGATTTTCTTGCAAAATTTATCAATCATCGGTTAAAAAACATGGGATTTTTGTTTTGATTCTAAACGGCCGTTATAACCTACCTTCTAGTACTGAGTTATCTTAAATGGACAATGATAGTAGCACTAGTTGCAGAGCTTCGAGATTTCACTGAAGACCGGAGAAGACATAATACTCGAGTGGAATATGCATTGGCGACATACAGCAGGGCTCGGGGCCACCAGCGCGGCAGGTAGGTCGGGCCGCTCTGTAAAATTACACTGGCGAAGCCCCGCAGCGTCCTGCTACCAAAATCTAGAGTCAAACAAGCAATTAACGTATTACATTAGCGCTAAATCAAAATTGCACTTTGTGTCCTTTTAATCTACGAAATGTGAATTTCTCACCCGCACGATATGGCGCCAAACGTTTAAATAAGTAGTATTCCATTTTATGGGTTGAAACTAAATCTTGATCTTCCCATGGTAACCCAAGAATAGGGCGCATTTGACTGGTAAAAATGTTTATTTTTCAACCCTTTTCGATACATCTCCGAGCCACATTTACTCATCTGATCCCGCTTTCACACGACAACTTTTGTAGCGTTAAATCATGCGAATTCCTTCTTTTTACCACATTTTAGGGAATGTTCGAGCATCCTGGTTGATGGCTATGTGATCCTTCCCCAGGAGGTTTCTCACTCCGATCTGGTAATTGCTGACACCGGGTAAGTGGGCACGTTATTCCGCCATTTGCACCAAAGAACCTTTCAACATTGTGACACCTGTGACCGCCGATTGAATTCCCAATAGTAAGTCCTCCTGTAAACCTTCTGATTGATGAAAAATCCTCTTTACCAAGAGATTAGACGCTGTGCGGAAGAATTTCCCCTCACAATTCCAGAGAATCTTTTAAGTAGGTGTCCCTACACTGGCTTTTGAGGTACTCTTCCGTAAGATCAAAACTGAGCTGCTGAGTGGCAATTCTACTTTGCTGTCACCAGCCATTCCGTTATTTCAACTAGCCCAATTTTTCCAATTCTGAAAAGATCTTTAAATCCATTTGACAAACACCGGTGTCAAAAAGGCCGCCTCGCCGCCAGACGTTTCTAAATAAATAGAGAGAAACTATTTTCACTGCAATTTTCCCAATAGGATTTAAAACCAGGTTTTTGTAGTCAAAAGAGGAACTTAATCTCCACGTAATAATGTCAAAAGTTTGCAAGTTTAGGCGCATTCAATGTCGAATTATGGGATGCCCAGGAGGGAGCCGCATGGAAAGATACCTAATTAGAACGAAAATACTTGAAGATATTTTAATATTAATTCCCAATTTGTTTATGGTCAAAAGTTTCCAGGATTTTACTCATCGGATTTTGTCTGCCTTTACCGAGAAGATCCTACTAGGATTTTCGGAGCTGATATATTTACATAAAAAAACTGAGCACAAAAACTCATCACATCACTAAAGAAGGATCTCACTTGACCCTACTGCTCGTGTCATGTGCATGGGGGCTTACTGTGCATCAAGGATGACGTCGTCAAATAGGTTCCATGCATTTGCTGTATTCTTAGTGATTTAGGGTGCAGCAAACTGATGGTGGTGATGTAGGCTGTTTGTTCACAACATCAACCTCCTTTGGGCGGTTGAGATGTATATTTTGCGCGCTAAAATTCTTATTGTATCATTGAATCGTTATACTTCCTCACTTATCAATGCTCCCTCTTGGACGCCTTCACGTGGTTTCGACATTTGAATTTGAATACTGAGTAAAATATAGTTTTTTTCGTGGTTTAGGTATCAGTTGTATAAATTACCGCTAGAATAAGTGGTTCCTTTTATAAAATATGCTATTTAAGTAAAACGAAGTTTCGCTTGATAACATCCCATGGGTATAATCCATAGGGAAAGTAAATGTTAGAGCGCGTAATCATGGCGTTGCGATGTGATTTGGAAGAGCAGTCTGCAAAGTATCATTATCGACACTTTAAATGATAAGCCTGACACCCCCCCCCCCCCACCTGCCGTCCCCTACGCAAGTGTAAATTAAACTCCGCAGGTATGTTTGTGCCAGCACATGTCTGTTTTAAACAACTGGCTCTTTTGTCGTTTTTGTACCTACGTAGCTACTGCAATGGTGATCATCAAATAAAAACATTGCTAAAAGTATGCCCCAATGCGACTATACCACGGCCAGATACCCTACTCAACTAATTGATATTTTTATTTAGCGAATTTTTTAATCTTTGATTTCTGCCAAATTTATTGTCAATTTACCAATTTAATGATCATGACTAGGTGTTCACCCTCTTCGCCTATCTTTGAAGAGTAGAGTAACTAAGCTATTTTTCTGTACCGATTTACTACTGACGGCTTTTCGTGTGCTCCAGTTAAGTGATTTTTGTCCTCGTGCTTATGAATAGGTGAACCGGGGAAGTGTGGTGTTACGTGTGCGCTTTCTGCCTACAGATATATAATTATTAAGTATTTAAAGTTACAGACACATATTGGGAGATTAATGGTGGGTTTTTAGCCATAATTAGACACTGTTTCTGACTGTACCAATAGTGAAGTTGTTGAAATGTCGCTGAAATATATCTACTCATGATTCCTTTATATTACCCTTTAACCGCTCTTTATGGCAGTGAATAATTTGCCTTTAACAAATTTCAGTTCTGTTCAAAAACAGAGCATTTTCTTTTGAAGGTGACTATTTTAAAATACACTGGTGAGTATTTTTATGGTTAACGTAGTCATGGATACCCGTGTAGAATTGAACAAAAGTTCCAATAGCTCAATCACCAGCATTTGTTGATTCTCTTAGCAAGCCTGGTTTCAATTTGTATGTTTTAACACAAATAAACGTCGCTTTGACTAGAGTGCTAGTGTCGTTTGTATAAGCCTCCCATATCGCCAAACGTGACTCCGTTAGCATGACAATTCGTTTGTAGCGTCCCGAGACGCCCTGAAGATGAAAGAAGACACAATACTCAGGCGGAGTATATATTCGGCACGGAGAAGGTGTCTGGGCTATTGGCATGGCCCAAAAGGCCAGCCCACCCAGTGAGGTACAAGGGGGCTAATTCAAAGTACAAAAGTGGCGCCTCA